CCCCCTACAGAGGGGTCACAGGGAAGAGAAGAGCCAGTCAGGGTGCAGTACAGCACCAATGAAACACACAACTTTCCTGTAGTTCTTTGGTGCTTCCTTCCCCCAACTATCATGACCTCAATTCTACCTTACAAATCAGATTAGACCAGAACATGCACACTGCTACAGATAAGAGCCTACTACACAGGTAATCTAGGAGAGATAAACCCCTCAGGGCCAATAATAAAAGTAGATATATACCAGGAGGATTAGGGGAGGGTCGGGGAAGAAATGAAGAATTAACCACAGGATCAATTTATAACCCCCTCCCAGGGGGACGAATAACAAAGTAGGTGAGGGGCAACAGAAAATGAGGTAAGATATGAAAATAATAATCTATAACTTATCAAGGGCTTGGGAGGGTGGACGGGCAGGGAAGGGAGGGAGAAGAAATGGGGAGATATCATGGGCCCAAGTGGGAAGAGAATGCTTCGAAAATGATGATGGCGGTATATGTGCAAGTATGCTTGACACACTGGATGAATGTACGGATTGTGATAAGGGATGTAAGAGCCCCCAATAAAAGTAAAAAAACAAGACAAAAATTAGCCTGCTATATTTGGGCAAGCATTTAATTAACTTACCCCTAATGTTATCACTGGAACTACTTCTCGTTGGTGAGGCATGTGATGTTAGCTGGTACTGATGATTTCTCAGGCCTTCTATGGCCCATTGGCTGGAAATTTTATCTAAGCAATGTTGTTGTTGTTAAGTGTCATTAAGTCAGCTTCAACCCACAGTGAGAGAACGAAACACTGCCTAGTCCTATGCTACCCTATAATTGTTCCCATGACCGAGCCCATGGTGGCAGCCACTGTGTCAATCCATCTTGCTGAGGGCCTTCCTCCTTTTTGTGGCCCCTCCACTTTATCAAGCATGATGTCCTCCTCCAAGGACTGCTCTCTCCTGACAGCATACGCAAAGTATGTATGACGAAGTCTTGTCATTCTTGCCTCGAAGGAGCACTCTGGCCGTATTTCTTCTTTTTTTTTTTTTAACATTTTATTAGGGGCTCATACAACTGTTATCTCAATCCATACACACATCAATTGTGTAAAGCGCATTTGTACGTTTCTCAAAACATTTTCTCTCCATTTAAACCCCCGACATTAGGTCCTCATTTTTCCCCTCCCTCCCCGCTCCCCACTCCCGCATGAGCCCTTGATAGTTTATAAATGGGTATTTTGTCATATCTTGCCCTGTCCGACGTCTCCCTTCATCCACTTTTTGGTTGTCTGTCCCCCAGGGAGGAGGTCACACACAGTTCCATGTAATCGGGTCCCTCTTTCCTACCCATTCTCCCTTTACCCTCCCTGTTTTGCCACTCACACCACTGGTCCTATAGGGCTCATCCGTCCTGGATTCCCTGTATTTTCAGTTCCTATCTGTACCAGTGTACCTCCTCTGGTCTAGCCAGTCTTGCAAGATAAAATTTGAGTCATGGTAGTGGGAGCGGGGAGGAAACATTTAGGAACTAGAGGAAGGTTGTATTTCTCATCATTGTTACATCGCACCCTGACTGGCTCATCTCCTCCCCGAGACCCCTCTGCAAGGGGATCTCCAGTGCTGGCCGTATTTCTTACAAGACATATTGGTTTGTCTTTTTAGCAGTCCATGGGACTTTCAATATTCCTCTCCAGCAACATAGTTCAAATGCATCGATTCTTCTTCAGTCTTCCTTATTCAATGTCCAGCTTTCACACACATAAGACACAATCAAAAATAGTATGGCTTTGGTCAGGTATACCTTAGCCCCCAAAGTAACATCTTTTTTCAATACTCTATCTAAAGAGGTCTTGTGCTGCAAACATACCTAATGTAACACATCTTTTGATCTCTTAACTGCCACTTCCACAAGTATTGATTGTGGATCCAAGTAAGGCAAAACATTTGACAGCTTCAACCTTTTCTCCATTGATCAGGATGTTACCTATTGGTCCAGTTGTGAGAATTTGGGTCTTCTTCCCACTGAGTTAAATCCATACTGAAGGCTACAATCCTAGCTCTTGATCAGCAAGCGCTTCAAGGCCTCCTCACTTTCAGTAAACAAGATTGTGTCATGTGTGTATCACCAAGTTGTTCATAAGCCTTCCTCAAATCCTGATGCCACATCCTTCTTCATATAATTCAGCTTCTCGGATTATGTCCTCAGATAGCTATGCATAAGATTTGCAGCAGCTACTTCCTGCTAAATGCACACGTGATTTCTTCTTCATTGTCTGTTCTTAGTCCGGAAGCACTGCTGAAACCTGTTCACTTGGGTGACCCTGCTGGCATTTGAAATACCAGTGACATGGCTTCCAACATCACAGCAACACATAAGCCACCACAGTATGAAAAACTGATAAAGTGGTAGACCTAAGCAATAGGAAGCCAATTAAGGACTTTAAACAGTTTTTTTAAAGGCTTCAGGAAGGGAAATAGTTGGAGGCAGCAGAAATGAAAACCCAAGTGAACAGATAGGAAGCAGCTGCATAAGAACAAGAGCCGATAAGTTCCAAGACTCACACAGTATCACAGGTAATACTGGAGACTCTGCCTTCCCTAGTCCACACCAATTTAGATCTCTAAAGCATAGCACTTGTCCCTGAACTATTTTTAGGTTACGACCGAACAACAACAACAACAAACATGTGTTGAGCACCTCCCCGGACTAACACTACACTTTGTTCAATGTCTCCTTTTCTACATCAAAACTTGGGAACCACATTCTCATCAACTTATCAAATTAATAGCAAGGTCTGGAAAACTTCACAATTATATACTTTGATCTGGAGCCAAGGAATGTATTTTTTTATAACTACTTGAGTTGCAAACTCTAGAGCCTTTATGGAAAATATGTAACACAAGGATATGGCATGCACTAAAGAAAAAGAAAATTGAAGAAATCCATGCAGCAAAGTTTCCCTAGAATTATTGGGTCACTGGTTGAACCAAAGAGATCACAGTGCACAGATCTGACACAGTGTGGAGAGTTCTCTCACACTGCCACACATCCTGCTGGGTGTGCTAAGAGTACACAGCCCACATTATTCTTGACCCGGGCCATTCTTCAGGGTGGCTTGCAGGGCATAACCTTAAGGAATGAAGTAGTATCTCCCTCTGGGACAGAGAGCAGGCCTACTTACTGCTCACTATAAAATGACAGGCTCCCCATGCTCAACAGTCCTCCTCTGTGGTGCAAACCCAGTGCACACACAGCATCCATCTAAGCCTTCCACAACACCCCCACGGAACCTGAGAGCAAAGGAATCAAAGCAAAGCAGGCTGCTGCTGTAGTCTAAGTAAGGATGTCCCCTGTCAGCACCTATAGAGCATTAACAGACTAACCTAATCATTGGAAAGCAGGGGAAAATACCAGATCCTCCACAGTTCTTGACATATATTTTTCCTAAATGTAAACAGAACATGAATATATTCTGGAATAAATGGCTTTCCTTTGAGAACGAACTGCATACAGAGATTTAATCTCTGAAACTGTCAACAAGAGCCGATCATCAGATCTCAGCTGCTCTGATAAACAAAGCTTCTAAAACAATTATGATAAATAATAAATGAATAAATTAGTAGCCTTACTGACATAATTCAGGCACTACTATTTACCTGGTAAGAACTCTATAATTCTTGGATGGATGGATGGATGGATGGATGGATGGATGGATGGATGGGCAAAGGATCAAATAATGAAAATAAATGCTCATTCATTTTAACTATATCCATTTGCAACCTGAATAATACTGGATAATTCTCTAGCTTGATATTCTCTAAAATTCCAAAAAATCAATAATGTTTCAATGCATTACTTACCTATCACAAGAATGATCATTCTAGTACAAATGTGCTTGACACAATAGATGTATGTATAGATTGGGATAAGAATTGTACGAGCCCCCAATAAAATGATTAAAAAAAAAAAGAATGATCATTCTCATATTATTGTTACAAGAATGATGACAAAACTGTGAAACATCTCATAACATGGATGAACTGAAAGGCAGTATGCTGAGTGAAGTTTGTCAATCACAAAAGGACAAATATATGAGACCACTTGAATAAAAAAGAATTGTTTTCACCCAGAGAGAACCTTCTCATTGAAACTGAAGACACTCCTAGAGGCCCCCTTTCAGTCAATGGCAGAACTCTAAAGCAAACAATAACACCTGTGAAGAATGGGTTTCTCAGACCAATCAAGTACAGGAGACCAAAACAAAACAGACTCCCTGTCATCGAGTGCAACAGACTCCCTGTCATCGAGTGCAACAGACTCCCTGTCATCGAGTGCAAGCTGTCTCATAGTGACCCTGTACGACAGGGTAGAATTGCCCCATGAGTTTCTGAGATTGAACCCTTTACAGTAGTACAAAGCCCCAACTTTCTCCTGAGGTGGTTTCAAACTGCTGACCTTGCAAGTTCGCAGCACAAAGCCAAAACCACTATGCCACCAAGGCTCCTTAGGAGACCAAAGGACAACATTTTCCCAAAACCAAAACTGAGAAGGCTGGGAAGGGCGGGGAAACCTGGAGAATGGAAATGAGGAGCCCGGAGAGGAGAGTGTGCTGACACACCCGTGGAGACGGCAACTCATGTTACAGAGCAATTTGTATAAGAGTTCTTGATTGGAAAATTAATTTACCATGTAAGCTTTTAGGTAAAGTACAATCAAATGTTTGCTTAATTATTTTCACCCATACATTAGCCCTGAAGATAAGAAAACAACTGGAGTGTCTTCTGTCACCACACATTTCTTGATATTCTAACATCACTTTTGCTATCAGCAGAGTTTGAAGTCCTAAAGACAACCCTACAGAGTTGTGCTCATCTTCCTTAAAGGAACAGTCTCATATCCAATGGGAAATCAGAATGAAAAACGAATTACTGACCAAAGAATGCATTTTCTCATACGTGATTAGCAACACTCATCAAAATTGAAAATAGCTCAAGAAAAAAATCCCTCTTCATACCTGTCACACTGCTGCATTATGGAAATTTCCTTGATGATTTCCTGAAGATCTGATTCAACAGGCACTTGTTTAATTGCCACAACTTGACCAGATTCCTTGTGGATTGCTTTAAATACACTTCCATAAGACCTAAAAGAAACCAAGACATTATTTTCTTTCAAGCATGATAGCTATTTGGAGGCAAACATTCTGAGTTTTTCCCTGGAGTCTTTTCTAGTTGAACCACCCCACCAGTTACTATCAAGTCCATTCCAGTGCATGGTGACCCCATGTGCGCAGAGTAGAACTGTGCTCCACAGGGGTGGTAAGGCTGTGATCTTCCAGGAACAGACCGCCAGGCCTTTCCTCCAAGGAACTTTTTGGTTGGTAGTGGAACACTTAATCCTCTGCACCACTCAGGGCTTCTTTCTAGTTGGAAATATTATTTAAATATCAAAATTTAGAGTAAACAAATACAGAAGTCTATTAGTTTTATCTTAACTTTAGTATACACTTAAAATCTAAAATTATCAAGTTCATATATAATGATCTGCTTGTATTTGTCTAATGAATGAGAGAGAGACTTACGGTTTGTCAACTCAAGCAAATGCAGCATTAAGAAGATATAAATGGAAATTAAAAGAATGAAAGAAAGATTAATAAAAGCCATAGTCAATGGTTAGGAGAAAAGGCTGCCTCGTCGTAAGTGCAGTCATTGCCAGCACATTAAATCCCTAACAGTATTCAGAGTACTCAAGTGCAGTAGAAACCCTCACCTAGAGGACCCTAAGCAAACAACAAAAACCTCGGCCATCAAAAAGATTCATAGCAACCCTATAGAGAGGTTCTGAGGCTATAAATCTTTCCAGGAGTAGGAGGGGCTGGCAGGTTTGAACTACCGACGTGGAGATTAGTAGTACAACACTTACCCGACAGCACCACCAGGACTCCTTAAAGGACCCTATTAACAGCCTCAGCTTCCTCAGACACTCCTGCTACTATCTCCGCCTCCTCAAGAACACATTCACAGATGCAGAAGGTAAATAAAATGTATGATGGTGGCCACCTACCCAAAACTGCCTGCTACAACTCTCACAATGTTACCAACTGGATAGTATTTTCTTTAAAGCAAAAGCAAAAGCAAATCAGGGAGAAAGCCATTTATACCCAAGAAGAAATCAGAAGGCAAGGTTAGAAATGGTACCACTTACCAGGTGCTTAGTGTAAGCCACAGACTACTACCAACCCTTCAGCTGGTCAACAACAAACCATTATCTCAGGGTTTACTTGAAAGGCCTGTGTGCTTTAATTTTAATTTCCTGAATTTTCACAGTTCCAACACACCCACCGACAGTCATCAAGTCGATTCCAACTCCTTTAGGACAGAGTAGGGTTTCTGAGACTGTAATCCTTTCAGAAGCGGACAGCCTCACCTTTCTCCCGAAGAGTGGTAGGTGGGTTTGAACTGCAGACCTATGGTTAGCAGTCTAACAAAAAAGCCACTGTACCACCAGGGCTACACACACATAGCTACACATAGGTAAAAAACTTAATTTTCAGCAGTGACTTTTTTCATGCTAATGCATTAATTGTTGAATACCTTAAAAACCATGGAAAATTATGTTCACTAAGTAAAAACCTATGAATAAAGCTGTGCACGATCTCCAGTCCTCGAAAGCATCTTCTCTTTTGTGCAGGGAGACAGATGCTCCCCCATTTTACAAACTGTTAAATCACAATACAATCAAATACTATGTTGTTGTTTTAAGCTAATTCAAAGCTTTTTGTTTTAAACAATTGTAATGAGACCTACCTGGAGCCATTTGTTTTTAGAAACAAAATGATCTCCCTCTTTATACACAGCATGCTGGAAATAAATCTTATGTTTTCATTTCCTTGTATTGGGATTATTTTTAAAATCTTTAAAATAAGTTCTTAGTACTTGCAGACACGGAGCTGAGATTTCTGAGAAGCCAAAAGCAAAGTTTGATTGACTAAAATGAGTTACACCACAAACAATTTACAACTTGACCAGGTCAGCTGTGTTAAAACTTACGGCACTGGAACATTTAGGTAGACACTGATTAACCTTAGTCACCAGAACCTCCAAACTCCTCTTGCCAGCACCCTGCACCTGCACCAGGCACCCCTGTACCTACCTGAAATGATTAACTTCGTAAATCTAAAGCCTTAATCCTAGAAAGACAAGATTCTCCTCAGGTCCAACCCAGCGCTGCTCACTCCTTCCTGACCCATAATTACACTCACATCCCTGCAGGCATCTAAGGGTTGAGTATAAAATCTGCCCAGCTCTAGCTACACCAAAAAAATTGTAAAATTTTGCCAGTTTGTATCAGCTGAGTCCTGAGGAATATGTGTGGGAATGGATTCTGAGGATTCTAGGCAGAAAGCAATTTACTGACATGGATACACACACAGACTAGAAATTCCAAACCCTGCATGTTAGCTCAAACAGTTGGGGGTAATACTAAACTCTTGCTTGGCTGCTAACTAAAGCCTGCTATCAACAGTACCAAATCAAACCCCTGGCTACTAGTCAAGTCAACTCACAGAGACCCTGTTACAACTGCCTCACAGGGTTCTCAAGGCTGTAATGTTTACGGAGGCCGACTGCCTCATCTTTTTCCCATGGAGCAGCCAGTGGGTTTGAACCACCAACACTGTCAGTTAGCAACCCAATGCTTAGCCCACTGCACCACCAAGACTCCTGGAATCGGCAGAAACCTACATGAAATGAGATGCTAGGCAACCCTTCAGATGTATTAAAGAAGGGACATTAAAGGTTCAAGGAGATGAAATATCTAAATGAATATACCAGTGACTTATACATCCATCCACTATGTTCCTGAAGGGGTCCAGGAAATATTCCTTTTACCAAAGTGAGAGGAGAACCGGCTCTACAGTGCAGGACAGGATTTAAACAAAAAATACCGACACAGAAAAGGGTTTCTTTAATTCAATCGCTGATGGGATCTGAGCAGAGGCAGCAACATCTAGCATCTGAGACAAGGTAGGAATGGCTTGTGTGGGCGGCAAAACACCCACAGCCAGAGTCAATTCCAACTCACAGTAACCCTGCATGGGACTACACACCTTTCTCACTGTGACCCCAGAGAACGGTCACGACACTTGATGGGATGGTAGAATGTAGCTCAACTTCCAGATTCATGAAAGGTAGAGTCAGGCCTCATAATTCGTGAAGTCCATATTTGTATACAGTACTTGTTTACTTGTGAAAATTTACTTTAACTACAAAACTAATAGGCGAAGCTCAGTCATTCAGGGCCACGTGTAAAGTCCTAAAAATCTTGATGTACTAATATAAACATTTCCAGAATGTCATTTGGGATGAATTTAATTGATAAATCTCTTATACATCATTTTACAGCATATATCTTGCTTTTTCCTTACCTATATGGCCTAAGCCTCTGAGAATTATTACAACTACTATACTGATTACTACAGAGTACTTTAAATGTAACTGTTATGAACATATGTTTTACACAAATAATAGCCATCCTATGTTTGTTAGTCAACTGCTCTCTCCATCCTGAAGGTGTTTGGTTAACGTATTGTAATTTTTTTTTTAATTCACTGCTCTCAAGTCAATTGCCCGAAGGCAACACTAGAGTACAGGGCAGAGCTCCCCATGTGGGCTTCTGGGACTGTAAATCTTTGCCCACAATAGAAAGCCTCATCCTTCTCCCACAGAGCAACTGGTGATTTCAAGCTGTTGACCTTGTGGTTCACAATCCAACACATAATACACGAAGCCACCAGGGTTCCTTAAAAAAAACCCAAACAGTCTAATTATACACACACACACACACACACACACATAGAGCAACATTTACAAAAATCCCTCCCTGGGGTAGGAAGCAGTTGGCAAACAAATGTAGAGGGCATGTGTTATCTGAGCAACTACAAAACTATTCAATTCAACCAAATATACTCTGTTATCTGATTACTTCATATAGTTTGTACTTACCCTTCTCCAAGCTTCTCCAAAACATCAAATACTTCTTCTGGCTGCTTAGTCAAACTGTCTTCACTCAGCTTTTTTAGCTTACTAATAAAAAAATAAAAAAAGAAATTTTAAAATTATTCTTTTTGGTTTATAAAATTTTAATTTTAGTAGGCAACATATTTAGATGTGTAAAATAAATAAAACAATACAAAATCTTACATAGTGAAGGGTCTCATTCCATCTCCCCTTTCTCATCTGCCCAGTACCATTTTTGTTAGCTTCCTGTAAAACTTTCATGCAACTATGAATTATACTCATTCTTACCCCCTCCAACTCCCTCTTTTAAATACACAGTAGCATTTATGGACAATATTACATACTTTTCACTTTCCAGTGTATAGCCTATGCTGAAGGTCTTTACAACATCGGTGTAGATCTCCTATTGCTTTGAGTTGCCATCAGGCCAACTCCGAAGCATGGCAGGCAATCTTTCTGCGATCTGGTTGTTTGCCATGTAGAAGTCTTTGTGGGTTTGCTTTGTTTTGTTTTGTTTTGCTTTGCTTTTAAATGATCCACATGTACAGCAAGTGCAGATATTTTAGAAGCTAGAAGGGGTGGGGGGCAGGGTTGTGTGTGCTGTGTTTGGCAAACCAAAAATAACTCCATATGAAGCTTAAAGTTATAAGAATGACTAAGGTATGAAGGTGAGCAGAGTCCAGCTAACAGGGACCTTTAAACCATGCTAAGGAGCGCTATTTTAAAAAGGTCAATTTCCCTGTAATGTCAACAAAGTACCTGCAGTGAGCAAGGGTAGAAATGAGAAGTTAAGGCATGAGGCTATAGCACTGTTCGGAAAAATAACCAGGGGGGGGGGGGGGGGGGGGGGGGTTGGAGGCGGCATGATAACCAATGTAGCCCAAAATGGTGGCTTGCCATTACTGGCATTTTCTTAAACTCTGTGAGGAATGACCGGAGGGTGAAACCAAACAGGGTCTGTACTTACCTGCGGCAGCTGGTAGGTAGCACCGGCCCTTTGAGGGAGAGAACAGGCACATTGCAGAGATAGACAAAAGCTTGGCACTGCTCCATTCAAATTATTACAAATACAAGTACCCTCACCCAGAGACCTGAGCTTCAGTGGCCTGTCCTTGGCAGAGTACAAGCTCGGCCTGTACACAGACCCCTTGCAAGAGTTTAAAGATCTGAATAAAGGCATGCAGATGGAAGAAACCGCAGGGGAAGTTAGCCACAAGAGGCCCAGGCAAAGTCCTTGTCTCACCCACATGCATACATGTGGGGTCTTATATGTCATCATCATAAATAAAACTACCTGGCTTTCCCTTCACCACCCCTGAAAAAATGACAAGGAGAGAATGACTGTCCAAGCTATTAAGGAGGTAGAATAAACATAGATTTTGACTAAAATGTGGAGCGAGGAACCCTAGCGAAACGACGGTTAAGCGCTCGGCTACTACGGTAACCAAAAGATCAGTGGTTTGAACTCACCTCTTAGCTTTGTGGGAGAAGACACCTGGGAGCACAAACAAGAGTCCCACCCGGCAAGCCTGATGGCGCAGGTCTACTCTGTCCTATGGGGCTACAAGCTGGAATCAGCTTGATGGCAACAAGGGCAGCTAGAGAAAGATGCTGCGGACAGCTGTGTGAATAGCCGTATCATTCACTGAGTGTGGTGTGGGTCAAGGTATCTAGGCTATGGCTCATAGTGGTTTAGCCAAACACTAGTCTGGTTGCACTGCTCCCTGTGTAATCAACTATATTGCAATGTCACCACCATCCATAATGTACTTTATGTAATGTGGTCACCAAGTGAAGAGCAGTTTCCCT